TTAGTCTAAGTAAAGTGACAGCAAATTCTAAAAAGTTGCAATTTTCATGACCATGAAATCATGCACAGAGTGCCACAATTTTTAAAGCTGGGCCAAGAAAGGCGCGTAATATCTATTGGCAAGGTTTATAAAATCCAACTGGTCAAAAAAAGCGGGCCGCCGGAGTAACCGTTGGTGCTTGATTTTATTAATCACGCGTGAAATGCAAAGAAATTAAATACGGAGAAAGAGATACCTAACAAAGGTCCTTTGGGAACATTAATCAACTTTTTAAATCTTTGTATCAACTTCATCGTCACATGGGCCTGATCAAAAGATAATTAGCTCTAAATTAGTTAATTAAAAACGGGATAATAACTCGGAGGGGAGACGACCAACCAAACCAGGAGAGGGAACAACTTGCTTCACCTCTCGTCCAAAAACCTTAGCCGAACATGCTTTTAAACAAGCAAATGACTTATAGAAAATGTCAAAAATATCTTTTAAAAAGTGCCGTACATTGCACATCAAGATGAAGAAAGTTGTTAAATTACTAAATTATAGCATATATTATATGATTTTTTTACTATACTTATGTATATTAGATTATATGTTAATTTACAAGTGAGGCAAATTAGTTTGGCAAAAAATAATAAATATAAATACTTTAAATCAATTTAGTAACTTCTTTAATTTTCTCAAATTAGTCAACTGGATTTTATATTAAGGACTGTGGTAATATTTTTTTAATAAAAAATTACTCCTTCGGTTCTTAATGTATGACTTAATTGGAGAGTTAATGTTAGTCTTATATATAAGATCTATTTCACATATTTAACAATTTTTTTCAAATTAACTCTAGTGATATTCCTCCACCAATAATTAAATAGGAGAGGGAGGAAAGAAGTTAAGGAAGATGCTTAGGGCGTTTCAGAAAAAAACATATCATATTAACTAATTTAATTAACATTTTTAATCTACTTAAATTAATTAATTAGATTTTATATTAAAAAGTGGAGCAGGCTGCGGACGAGAATCTCTGGACCACAAACGCCAAAAGTTTGACCTCTCTCACTCTGTAATAATACTCTTCATTCTTCATCCTCTAATTAATTAAGAAGACTGTCTCCTCTGAAACTCCTTCATTAAGACCTTCACCAAAAATTGAAATCTTTCATCGGAATCAAGACTCAGCGACCACCTCCAGAGAAAAGCTAGCTCCTCTTGTGCTCATATTCTTTCTGTGTATGCACTAGTCATCACTGGATCTTCTGATTTCTAATTAATTTCTCTTCAGAGTTGTGGTAATTATTTGATGTTGACACCGCTTTATATTCTGATATATTCTTACAGTAAAGCAATGGTTTTTGCAGACAAATGTCGAGTTCATGACTTGACTCAGTAGAGTTCTACTTTTCGATGCTTCAGCTTACCAAGAAAAAGGTAAAATGAACGCTGAGAAAAAAAAATTATAGCATTTTATGTTACCTTAAACATATAGGGATTCTCTTCTAGCCATGTTCTGAGTAAGCATGAGCCGTCACTTCTTCTTTTTACGTAATTTCTCTTGTGAGTTGTTATAATATTCGATGTTGAAATACCTTACTCATACGTATGTATTTATATATATGGTTCTGAAACTTGCAGTCAAGGCACTGCTGGGTGTTGCAAGAAAATGTCAAGTTCATGACCTTAACTCAGATGTCCTAAGCACCTGAAGCCGCTTCGTAACTGAAGGAGAAAAGAAGACTAAAATAATGGAAATGCAATTGATTGTTGGTAAGTGTTTTGGCTTCTTATTTTGAGTCGAAAGTACTTGTATACATGATTTATGATTAACTGTAATCTAATTATATCGAACTGGTTACTAATTTCAACTATGAAGCAACTAAAATAATGTAGAAATATCTAAGTATAACTATGTTACTTCTAATTAACTTCATAGTCTAGAGAAGGACGTACATTCAAACTTAACCCGTACAACAACTCTATTCAACTTTAATGACCTCTGGAAGTAACCATGACGATGACGATACTATTATTGAATAAATTCAAAGTAGGAAATTAAAGGTGAAAAAAAATAGGAGGAGGGCTACCTGAAAATGTTTTCTATTTTCATTTAGTATATTAATATAAAAATAAAATTCTCATTAGGAAAAATACCAACATTTAGTGCCTGACAATAATGCCTCAAATAGAATTACATTCAATAGGAATATATGTGTGCTTATGAAAAAAAACGTTACCATTCATTTATTATTTATTACATAATTATTATATTAATTTTAAATAATTAATTTCCCTTTTTAAATTCAAATAATCTAAATAAATATTTTATAGTAGAGATATAATAACTATAAGTGGCAAAAGTGGAAAGACCAATTTAAAATTTCAAACAAATAGGATTTGTTTCTTATATTTAGGAGTATCAGTATAAGAGGGATTGTTTCTTATAAAAAGGGACAGAGGGAGTATAATTGATATTGTTTTATAATCGTTCTATATCAATTATCATTAAATTAAAGCAAAAACATATAAATATATATAGAGAGAGTGATATTTTCAAACATCTATTTGTATAGCACTTGCCAATAACTTGTCTCAGCGTGCGTAGTCATCACTCTTTTCATTTAATTCCTCTTGTGAATTGTGATAGATTAGATGTTGAAAGAGCTTTATATACATGCGCGCGCGCACACACGTGTCTATGTATAGAGGAGTAATATTTGAGAATTTAGTCACGAATAACCAGAAGAAGGTTTACTGGGAGATGTTTGTTTTCAAAACAAAATGCTTTTAATTCTTGAAGAGATTATCGAGAATTCTGGTACTCGGAAGTTTTATTGAGAAATCGCTCTGTAAAACATTTTTATCACAAACTCGATAACTTATTTAGAAACCTAACACAATCACAAGAAATCACAAACTCAAATACTTGCTCAAAAAAAAACTTTTGAACCAGAAACATTACATCTTTAAAACTTTAATTCTAGCACCGGGGGCTGACTAGGGTCAAGGCACATGTCTAGGCTCAAAGAACGGGCTCTTACAGAAGTGTTTATAGGCTGCCTACCAAGAAAGTCCTCATATCCTGCCCTCAGAAAAATTGTAGGTCATTGGAGTTTCATCTGATTCTGCTTCCAGATGTGTTCTTTTTCCGTTGATAAGATAAACTCATGGCACAACGTTAAAAAAAAAAAAAAAAAACTATAAACATTGTTTTAAATAAATTTTCAATGTGTGAAAATGTTATCTATGAAATTTTTGGATAAATGTAACATGCATATATATATGATGTAAATAAAATTTACATCGTAATTATACAAAATATACTTATATTATAAATTAAAATATATTCAAATGAGTCAATTTGGAGATTAAGATAAAAGGAAAATATTTAGATCAAGTTTCTCATATCTATCATTTCAATTTTTTCAATCACACATGGTCATGTGTTCTAATTTTTTCCATGAGCCTATAATTAAATGTTATTAAATACTAATATTTTAAAAATAGTACATATGATCATGCATGATTGGAGAACTACTTGACATGATGAGTAGAAGAAACTTGATACGGGTTAGAAAAAGCCCATGTGTGACTCTTTTAATAACGCAAGTTTTCTGATATGAGTTCAAATTTTGTGTTACTTATGAAGTGCATATTTGTTGCAGCTTGTTATTCATCTGGGGAGGTCAGATCGTGAGACTTAGAGACAATCTGTCCTCAAGCATATCAAGTTAGAATACATACTTTCTATGCCACGATGAAGTTTAATAATTCCAAACAAACAAACTATTATTTTATTTGATATTATAATTATAGTTATTTCATACAAATATTTTTTAAGAGACAATCTGGCCTCTCATCTATTTTAAAAACATATACTTAAATCCAAATTGTTAACTCCATTAAGAATATTCTAAAAAATATTTGAATAAATTTCATTAACTAATCTACCTTTTAATCATATTAAATCCCTTATTTTGACTAAAGCTATTTTGAAGAATTTAAGAGCCTTTTCTTTTCTCTAATTTTTATACTTATTTATTTTTTATCATATTGGGATAAAAGTTTAAGTAATTTAATTAACTTAGATATTAAAATTTAATTAAAAATATATTTGACTAAATATGTTTATAAATGTAGGAAAAATGTATTTAAAAATTTTAAATTAGAAATTTAGATGATTTATATAATCTCTCAAACCTATATCATTTATACTATATGATAAAAAAAAAATGCATATTTGAAATATGTTTTTAACCATTTAAAAGGAACCTAAAGAAACAAATTTCAACAAATGTGAAGAAAAATTAAAATTATAAAATTTTATAATATACATAAAATTAATAAATTTTATAACATATTAGAAAGTTTGAAAATATATGTATTAGAATCATTTCTATGTTGTATAAAAATTATATTTTGGAAATGTTTTAAATAAGAGGGATATTTTGGTCAAAACAAATGTTGAAAAGTCAAATTTAACGTTTAACTAAAGGTTTAGATGGATGAAAATAGATTTTTAATTATAGAAGTGAAACTTGTCTAACCTACATTTTAATTTCAAAAAAGATTCATGTGTTTTCAAAATAAATCAAAAGTTTTGTAATTTAAATAAAGTAAGAGGGTAGTTTTAGTATATTCTACTATTTTCTTCAATTAAGCAAATAATATTGTTTTGCCGGAAGAAATATTAACCCCACCAGGATAAATTCAATTAATCAGGCAACTTGCTTCAAACAAAAACGTGTGATTATTGCGTGCTGAATCATTTTTAAGAAAACACCAATAACACCTAGTAAGTTACGATTCGAACAAATTTGTAGGATAAAACATGAACAAGGTGATGATTCAAGCAGTCCGCTAATAAAAGATGCATGATTGATGTCTTAACAAGATAGTTTTAAAACATCTTAAAATGAGTGATTCTAGCAATCAAAATTGTTTCATTAATATATAATATTCTGAGCTGACATTTCTTGAACCGTTTCCCGCCAGGTTTTTGAGGTTCCTCAATGACTGTGGTCGTGGAAGGAGCGTTAATTACTGCGTTTGCAACTGCGGTGGGGGCCCCTGCTGCGAATTTTGGGCTTCAACAATTAAAGTCCAAACTTGAAGACGCTTCGCTTCCTGACACACATAAAGCGCTAAATGATGGATTGGGGTGGCTGCTTGCTTTACTAAAGGACAAAGACAACGAAGTTTCAAGCAATATACAGAAAGATACGTCTAGTGTTTACCAGTACTGGACGAAGCGCGCATCAGATGTTCGGAAAGACGTGACTTCCTTGAATGAAGAATATGAAAAAGTGAGGAAAAAGAAGCTGAAATTTTTAAGTGGTGGAGATCTCAAAGAGAAGATCAAAACGGCGCTCAAAGAAGTAATCGAAATTCTTGAAAAATGTCCCAAGGAGATTATAGTTAAGCTGCCAGAGTGGGTCATTGAGGAGCCTGGTGTTCCATCAATTGCAGAGTATCCAACTCTTCAGAAGGCCTTCCAGGACATTCTGACTCTGCTGCAAAATAATGGAGAAAGATGCGTGGCACTTCATGGAGGAAAAGGGGTGGGGAAAACAACAATCATGCAAAACTTAAATAACCACTTCTATAATAGCAATAACAAATTGTTTGATATGGTGATTTTCATCAAATTGCCATCTGATAAGCAGACTGAAGACCTTCACATTCTGCAGAAAATTGCAGATCGGATAAAGGTGAATAAAGAAGGTGACGAATGTGAAGTTGCTCGAAAAATACAGAGAGTGCTTGAGGACAAAAGATATTTGCTAATTTTAGATGGTGTAAGGCGCGCACCCAATGGGATTTGGGAAAAGTTGGATATTTCAGCACACAAAAAAGATAGTAAGATGGTGATAACTACTTATTTTCCTCTTGCTTGGAATTCAAAATATGTTGACAGTAAAGTCGTGCTCGAAAGGTTACCCCCTGAAGAAGCACAGGTTATGTTTCGAGACTTTTTTGGCAAGGCTTTACCACCTGGCGCTGAATGGGTATGTGATAGGTTATGTTCTTGTCTTCCCCTCCTCATAGCTTCTATAGCAAAGTCTTTTATATATCAGGAGTCTCCCCCTGATTGGGAGAGGGTTTTGAACGAATGCACGCCTTGGTCTCAAGTTGGAGTTGATGGTTTAGACGAGTTATGCTCAACCTTGCAAATTTCTTATCAACAGTTGGGTGATCGAAGTAAACAAAAATGTTTTCTTTATGCATCACTCTATCCTGCAAACAGCAAGATAAGCACAGACTACTTTTTGGAGTGTTGTATAGTTCAGGGTTTTCTTAGTGATGTTGCGGATACTAAGTACGGTGAAATTCGCAGCCAAGGTATTAAGAAATTGAGGCACCTTATTAATGTGGCACTGTTGGAGGAAGGGGAACAAATGAGGTATGTAAAAATGAATGATCTCTATAGGCAAATTGCTTTACATATATCATCCAATGATCCAAATTCAGAATGTAAAACATACGTTGATAATGAGGAAGATGGGGAGGACCGTAGATCAGAATCATGGCAGCGTGCTAAATGGGTTTCTATGGTTGGCAGTAAAAGGGATAGTCTACCAGCAAACCAAAATTATGGGAGTCTTCAGACGCTATTGCTACAAAAGAGTCTGGCATTGGATCAAATCCCATTTGATTTTTTTCAGAGCATGGGCAGTCTTCTTGTGTTAAACTTGTACGGTACTAAAATAAGCAAGTTGCCATCTTTGTCAGGGTTAACCAGCCTTAAGGTGTTCTATATAAATGGTTGTTCAGGCTTAAAAATATTTCCAAATCAGATCCAACCACTTAAACATCTTGAGGTATTTGACATTCGAGATACCAAGGTAGATTTTGTGCCACCCTTGAACAGTTTGCGGTGCCTGAGAATCTCATACATTGAAAGCAGTAATTGTCTTGGAGTTTCAAAGCTTCATGACTTAGAAGAGTTGACCATTGAAGTGAAATCCCTGCCACAATGGTGTTATGATGCTGAAAATATTATACCACAGGTTGCTTCTTTGAAAAACTTAACAACTTTCAAATGCGACTTCCCTTTTCCAGAAATTACCCTTAAAATATTCCTAGAGACCAACGAGGCTCCTATTAATTGGGTGAGGGCTTTGATTAATTGTAAGCCTTCGCCTCAAGTTGGAGTTCGTGGTTTATCCCCTACTGAAGCGAGGAAGATGTTTCAAGACATTGTTAAAGCTAAACAGGTATGTAAGAGGTTCTGCTTTCGTCTTCCCCTCCATATAGATTCCACATTGCAACGCTTTTTAAATATGAAGAGTCCTCCCACTAATTGGGAGAGGGCTTTAATTTGAAAGCATGGAAGTGCTCCAAGTAATGTGATGCCCCTCTCTTTTCGATTTTTTCAAGAATTCTTTCAGTATTATATGATAGGATTTCAGATGCATAAAATGATATGCGTCAATCAATTAACTAGCCAAAGTATCTGATATCTTTTTAATGCATTATGGTTTTGAAGGCCTTGCCACGAGAAGGGGAAAGTTCGTCAAATCTACCAATAACGTCATCTGCAAACCAGTGAGTAATCAATCGAAAAAGACAACCTTCTCTTGTTGTTGACGGCTAAGCTAATATGTTCTTGTTGGGGTTATATTTTATATTTACATATTTGAGTGTGTTTTTGTGGGTGTTGGAATTTAAAGGAGTCATTAATCTTGTTATCCATTTTATATTTATCACATTTTTAAACATATAGGCTCTGTTTTTTTTTTAATTTTCAAAATAGATTTTTTTTGGGAAAATAAAAAAGCATGTTTAAAAATATGCTTCCAGTTATGTGTTCGAAAAGAAAAGGCTAAAATTTATTTCCAAAAAAAATCAGAATATATTTTCATATTGTATTACTTTTTGTTCTACAAATTAGGAAAGAGGCAGATTCCATTTTAGTTTCATGAATAACAATTATGCTTGTTAGTATTTTTGTGAGTGCTTTTTTCGGTGAGTTTTCGTGTATTAGAATATTATGTTAGTATTTGTTTTTTGGTTTTTTTTTTGGGCTTCGACTATTAGTGTGCGTAAATAATATTTTAATTTTTTGTATTAATAAAATGGATTTTTCCTCAAAAGAAAATAAAAATTGTGCTAATAAAGCAAACTATTGCTTCACTCTTCATTTTACCATTATATATATGTTTTTCAATTCAGAAAAAAAATTTTCAATTTTTTGCTCCCAAGACTTGTTCTGAAAAATTAGTCTTCAATTATTCTATTATTTTGGTGTTTGCTTATCTCATTGGCACCATCACTCTTTTTGGTTCTGTTGTTTTCGCCTCAGCTGAGTCAAGGGTTTTGGAGGCTACATTTTCATTTGTTGTGAAGTTTGACGATGATTTGTATCTTGTAGGGCGGATGGACTTGTTAATAATCTACTCAACTTGTCTCTTGGAAGTAATGCTAAGGCATGAAGAAGCACTGCAATGACTGATTTTGGTTTTGATTTGTGTAGTACAAATAATAGATGTGGGATTGGCTAATGTTGCTGGTTAATTAGGTTTGAAGTGCTTTATTTTCTTTTGTGTCATTTGTATTTGCTTTTCAGCTTGAAAGAGGTTGTGTTTATAGTAGAATTTGAGTGTGATTTTCTTTGTTGAATTTGAGTATTGGTGTCCACAGTTTGCTTTTGATGTTAATAGGATGGACTTGATTTTGGTTGAGTATCGTTCTTGATGTATGGAAAATGATCAAATCTTACAAATGGAATAAGAAGTAATGATTAAGGAAAAAATCACGTAGTGAAATTAATATTAGAGATACAAAACCCAATATCGTGGAACAAAGGAGAACTCAATCTAGATTAATGATTAGCTAACTTAACCATCAGTATCCTCACCCTATTCTGCTTTTAGCATTTGGGTGGTCTATGAACATTCCAGTCTAACTTATCTCCCTTTGGTTTTCTGAAAGACCCCAAACTGTTTCGTGGCAATGATTGATCATCGCCTTTATCGTTCTTGGGCGATTTAGTTGGAATTTGTGCTTCAGACATTACTTCAGACTGTTTCCTTTTGAGGTCACCACTAATCTCATTGATAGTAGTGTTTGCATAATTTGAACCATCTACTGGAAGTCTATTTTCTCTGAATCAAATGTAAAATAATGCGTCATCTAACCAGGGTTAAATCCAGAGATGTAATATTTATCTGGATCTTGGGATCAAAATTAAAACCATTGATGGAGAATCATCAAATCCCTTTTTTTTGTTTTGTTTTAGAGATGGTGTTGGGAGGCAGACCACACCAACAAAATTAAAACACCATAAAAAAATTACGTCAATTAAGTACTAAGGGAAACGGATATACACGTAATAGAAATGTTTCCGCTTTGATTCCTAGAACTAGATGTTTGAGCTGCTAGCTGACGGAGCCTAGCGTCTTCTTTGTTGAGTCTCTATATAGGCAAGAATTTGCCATAAGAAAATGAGAAGAATGAATAACAAGTAAACATCAAGTAGGGAATCTTTTAAATTCTTGATCTTAATACTCACATCAATTCATGGATTAAAACTTTGAAATGACATCCGACCTTTAATTGTTCCTGGATGGAGATCATTTTCCATTATGGCAATGTTGCTTGCACTTAGAGAGAACACTGAAAATCAAGAAACATCTAAGAAGAATAATTCAGAGGCAATTATGGAATTAAGTTGTGAAAAACAAACTTGGTATAGAAAGGGTTTATATTGTTCTCTTTAAAAGGAGTTATAGGTAAAATGGCATTAGATGGGGTGTCACTAATGATAACTCGTAGGATTTCAAGCTAAGGAGTTTTTAAACGCTACTCACTAGGAGTAGATTCGAGGACAATCATGGAATCCAAACAAATCTATCGAAAAGATTGACCTTTATTGATAAAAAGAGTAGATTTAAGGCGTGGAACCATACTATATAAGCAATGCGATGAGCCCTTATCTGTGATAAAACAAGCCCTAGCTGACAATAAATGTAGTCAGCTAGTAGCCATTACACTAGTCATAATCTGACAAAGAACTCAGGTAACGTGTCTGCACACTCAGACTGTTTATTTCAAGGTGGATATCCAAATTAGTCCCAAGAAGGATGAAAGAATAAAGAAGATTACCATGTTCTAATTATTGTGGGAGTTCCAAAAGTATTGACATCAGGTTTAATTTCACTTCATCCTCTTCTTCCTTGGATTTCTCCTTTCTTAGAGCTGCTCTTTGCATGAAATATTGAAAGAAGAAATATTATAACCATATTGAATTGTGGAAATATCACAAATATGAAATTTTGAACCAAGCAATGATAAGGCCAAGCCTCAGACATCTTAAACTCACCAAAATCTAATTTGAACAGTCCATTAAAGGAAAATGGGGAGACCATGTTTGATTCCTGTTTTACCTTCGAGTTCTTGAGCGTGCTGGAAAGCTCTTGTTTCGCCATTATGATTTCGAACCTTCCACCAAATGCCTAGATCAAAACCGAAATCCAAGATCATAAATTGAAAATTTAGGACCAAATGTCCTAAATAGATATGAAAAATTGAAAATTTAGCACTTGATCACTTACGTAAGAACAGCCTTATATTCCTAGAGTGTCTATCCATATTAACGATGTATATGATTAACGCAGAGACTTCTAAAATTCAATTAACATGGCCATAATTTGATGAGTTAATACTTAGCTTAAAAATCTATCCATTGATCCTTATTACTTTATTTAAACATATTTATTTACTTGCTATTGAATTTGTGTGAATTGCAAATTACAAACAAATGGAAATTTTCTATAATTTATTTACGTTTTCATAGCTTTTCAAGCAAATAAATCAAAGGATCTACAACATCCATAACTAGGCAAATTCAACAGGTGAAAATATGTTTTTCAGTCATGACGCCGAAAATAAAAATAAATCACAGCTTCTCATCTCCAAACTAAACAATCACATCACGAACAGTCGTTACCCTGGAATAGTTTGTGAGGACCCGACAAATTCGTAGGGTTGACGAATGTAGGAAAAATGTTTCAGGTTATTACAAATACTGCTAAGAAAAATGCAGAGACTCTTGGTCAAGAACCAGAGAATGCTGACAGATTGTACGTCAATGTAAATAAAGTCCAACTGAGAGCATAGAGTAAAGAAGCAATAAGCGAAGGCAAAAAGAACAGAGAAGAAAGTCTTCGAAGCATACCTGACTCTCTCTCCTTGGCCACCTTTCACTAGTTTTGATTTCGGGTGGAAGCTCTTACAAGTTGACGCAGATAAGAGAAATCAAATCACAGACACCCCGCGTGCAGCCTGAACCGAGGGATTTTATAGTGATTACAGAGATAAATAATCAATATATGTTAGTCCAAAAGGTAAATATAAAAAACTTAGGTGAATTTATCAAGTTCTTTATTATGTGTTCTTTTTTATTTTATATAAATGTATAATTAAATGTTATATTTTAAAAGGAAAAATTCATGATCACGATCGAAAAACTTAACATAAATGAATAAAAGTAAGTGAATAAAAGTTTTTTTTTTTAAAATATCAATCCACATGTTGCTGTAGTCGAATAGTCATAGATCCGGGCACTGGGGACAAGAGAATAAGAGATGCCGATGGATACATTTGATATTTTTAGATGGGCTCCGGTCATGGACCGTTTTCTCCGATTTTGAACTTTCATATTGTATGATGTAATAGTCCGTTCTGAATTTTAACATTTTGGGTTCAATTGTATCACCCAAAAAAAGCCATTTTGGGTTCAAATCATGGGCCATTTAAACAAATGAATTTAGTAGAGGTTATTCTCTTACTATTTAATAGTAATTTATTTTTTTGTGCCAAAAAATAATAATAATTTATCTTTCTAGAATTCAATTTACAAAATTTTAAAATAAATCTGTTTATGTGAAGAAAAAAAGTATACATTTGCTCCATTACATAAGTTTGACCAATTCCAATAATTACTTCCAACTCCAGATTTTCAGGTTAGTGCCAAATAGGCGATCCTCTAAAGAGCATGCTCTTCCAAAACTCTTCACATCTTGAAAACTTTGATCGTATTCATTAGTGTATTTGAAACCCTTTACACACAAATTTTCATCCTCAATTCCATATGTTTAGGTGAAAGTATTGAGACAATATTTTTTTAATAATACATATACACAAAATTTGATGCAAACCATATACACATTATAAAAGAATTTAATAAATTTTATTGTCATGAACCATAAACGTATAATGCGGCTTATTTTTTAAATTATGTGCAATAATGAGAATTTTATTTACAAAATATACTTGATGTATAATATATTTAATTATTTATGATAGATTTGACCTTTGTTTTGGATAAATTGAACCTGTCTTGAAATTATTCGAGCTTGCATTAACCAAATAGAAACTAGAACCAATATTGACATAACGTTAAAAGTTTCAATATACCAGTAACAGAAAGTACCGAGTTTTGGGGGGGGGGGGGAGAGAGAGAAGAAAGCATTGAAATGGAGGCATACATAATATAATATTATGCTGTTTATGACAGTAGTGGATCTAGGAACATTTACGATGATGAAAACCCAAAAAAAAGAAAGCCTAACAATGGACAACACAAATTTAATCTGTATTTGAGAGGTTATCGAATAAGCAGCCTAAACCTTATGCACAGATTGAAGTGTGACATGTCCCTAATTCAGTTACAATGAGAATGGAAGAACCAAGACCTCTTCAGTTATAAGTTGCTGACTTGTAGCAGGTTTTAATATGGAATCATAGCAATCAGACTGAATCAACACGATGAATTGTTGGCGTTTAAAAAAGATTGATTTTTCCTGAAAGCATCATAACAAGCGTGACCTAATGAGAATTTTAAGATATATATAGAAGACAATATGGGTGTATCTTTTCAAACAAATCCCTAGGGGATGTCACAATCTGCTCAACAGTCAATGTGGTCAAACTTGAAGTCGCCAAATTTGTCAAACGTGGAACTGTAAATTCCTGGATGGCTAGGCCAGTTCCATTAGTTCTGGGTTAACACTCGCTGAAGGTTCAATTCGTAGAAGAAAATGCCTCAAGATCTGAATTGGATGTTGACTCGCCCCTCTGATTTATACCATCAGTTAGAGTAGAATTTGTTGCCCAGGAGGCTTGTGAGTATGTTTCGCTTCTACTGTAGGTGATTTTAGATGTAGTTGAAATACAGTTAAGCTTACTAATGCACATAATTTATTTTTTTTGTAAGCTTATAAATAAACAAAGATACGTGGAATAGAGTCATGCATATATACTTGCTGGCTCGCTTATCAATATGCTTTTCTTTCGCGAATATGCCCAAACTAGAAGGTGGTAAAGCTGTAGATTTTAACAATGCCAAGGAATAGATATAAAATTACCTGGATGATGGTAAATATCATCATCGTCATCATCTACCCCAGATTGAGGCCTTAAGTTCACGTGGTTGTTCATGGATGGTTGTGTTCCACTATGGGTTTGTGTGCAAGTGTGACCACCACGATAGGTGATATTGTAAAGGTCGAGAATATTGTCATCTCTCTGCACTTGTTTGGTAGCTAGGCAACCCTGAACATTTCTATGAGTGCATCTGTAATATCCTCTGCGTATAGACCACAGCTAGAAAGAGTCATATATAGATGTAAAGTAAGTTATGATTCATGGATAATTGAAAACTGTAGTACCTTGGAAATTAGGAATTAAAAATT